AATACTGTATAGTCTTAGAAATTATAGAAATGTAGAAAGAAAATAAGTGAAGATTTAAAAATTACTTGTTTTCACCACCTAGAAAATAACTTCTGTTAGAATAAAATTACTGCAAGAGGGTGTAATTTTCACCCTACTTCATTTAGAACAGAAGCCAGGACAGAAAAATCACATAAATGATTTTTCCCAGCAGCCCCCTGTTTGTTTATGTAAAGTGGCCAAGCTCCATTGATGATTCATGAAAATAAAAACATAGTGACTTTAAGTGATCATAACTGATCTTTGAAAACTTTTTATTAACAAGTTATATTTTTAAATTAAGATCTGGATAGTATTCCATTCATGTTTTTATTAATACTTAGTTATTTCATTAGGCCCTTATGTGAAGGATTTTCATACTATCAGATATTAGGTAGATGAACCCTTTTATTTTTAAATAAAATATCATCATGAACTTAGTGTATCCTTTATGTCATTTGTGTTTATTTCCCTGTTACATTTGTTTAGAGAATAGTGTCACATACTTATCAATGTTTATTTCAGTTTTGAATTTTTAGAGTTCTTTAGAATCAGATCCTGGTGGATAATCATTATTTCCAAGCAATAATTTGAGGCAATATACTTTCTAGTGTAACTTTTATTTATTATGTTAAACCAAATGATACCACTTTTGGTTTAATCAGTATATCCAGGGCAAATGGAATGATAGAATTTGTTACTGTGAGGAACTTCAGAGATTATCTATTAATAGTATTGGTTATTTTTCTCCCTTCATACTGTAACATTCACAAGTATAAAAGATACATCTTTAAAATCTCTCAGGACATCAGTAGAAGCATGTAGAAGCAGGATGATTTTTTAACTTCACACCCAGTATTCTTGGTCTTTTACTGGGGCTCATATTTTATTGTGTTCCTCTCTAAGGACAGGTTCCTTCTGATCTCTTTCTTCCCAAAGTGTTACATTTAAAATGATGGGAGAAGGGCCAGTCTCTCACTAGCTTATTTTTTCTTCCTCAGGGGAAGGTAAGTTCTAATTATTATTGGCTCAACTGTAGTATCTTTCTTAGGGAGACAAACTTAATACTATATTTCACCAATTATGACATGACTTTTTTTTTTTTTTTTTTTTTTAGACATCTCTGAAATTGAGATGTGTCTTTTTTTTGATCAATGCCATCTTATTATAATTGTTTTTGGCCAGGTAGAACTCATGATGTAATATCATTGCTTGTGTGTTGTGAACTTAGTTGTATCCTTTGTGTCTTACCGTTATAACCCCTTGATATTTTAATCCATAAACTATTTAAGGCCTTTTGAAGAAAGAGTGTGAGTCCTGGTTGTTATTTAAAAATCTTCTTTTAGCACCTGTCATAAGAGCAAGAGAGGATCAGTATAACTTGCAAAATTGGATCTGTTGCATTCAAAGAAAATCTTGGAGACACTTAAGAAATGTTGTATCACCAAAGCTTCTAATGGCCAGAGGGTGGTATCCTATGGAAAAACACAGACATTAGATAACTCAGAGTCAAAAAGTGATTTAGAATAGTCAAACTTAAATATGAAGTATTTGATTTGTTATGTATGCACAAGAATAATATATATACAATAACAATTTGTATTTAAATATGTGCAAAAGAACCCTCTCAAGATATAGTAAAAATTCTAGATGATAAAAGTGTTGTCATAGTTTAATTAGCAATTTTTCTTCCTTAGTGGAATATAATATAATGATGCCTCTTAAAAGGCATTCTAGAAAAATGGCCTCCTAGATTTGATAGAATATGGTAGATTAGAATATCTTCTAGGGTGGTAGGGTTGATATAAAGTATAAAAGTTTGATATAAAGTATCAAATACCTTTGATATAAAGTACCTTTGATATAAAGATATAAAGGTTGATATAAAGTATAAAGTTATTTTTTTATCTAGAACATGTTATCTGAGCCCTAAGCATTAGTGTTACTTGTTACCTCTATTTTTTCCAAAGGAAGTAAAACTTAGCAATAATCTATTTAGGAAAATTTCCATATACAAGCTAATACCTGTTTTGTTTATATTTTTCATCATGTGCAAGGTTAGATAATAGATCTCTAAAAAATCTCCTATATACTGATTTTTTAGCACTTTATTGCTTCTATAAAATAATACATGTCCATTTAAAAAATTAAAATTTTATGAAAAATATAGAGAACGTGAAAAGTGCCTGAAACTTCAATATCCTCACTGATGGCTTCTTCCTAGATATTTATTATGTAGCTATCCATATGTGTAAATTGATGTGTAGTTTTTATAAAATTACATACCTTTCATGCTTTTTTGTAAGTTGCTATTTTTTCCTAGTCAACGATGTGTTGTGACTATCATTCCATCTTAAGAAATATTAATTGATTAGTCAATTTTAATGGCTGTATTATTTTCCATTGTAGACTGTACTACATGATTTAAGCAGGTTTGTGTTAATGGACATTTAGGCTGATTCAGTTTTTCCTTATTGCAAACAGTGCTTTGATGAATATTTTTGTGTATGTATAAGTTTTATTTTATAAAATTATCTCCCTCTGATAAACTCTTTTTTTTTTTTTGAGGCAGAGTCTGGGCTAGAGTGCCGTGGCATCAGCCTAGCAGCTCACAGCAACCTCAAACTCCTGGGCTCAAGCGATCCTCCTGCCTCAGCCTCCCAAGTAGCTGGGATTACAGGCATGCGCCACCATGCCCGGC